GGAGGAAACGAACAAATGAACAGTAAAAAAGAGAGAGCACACCAAAGAAAAAACACAAGAAACACAAAGAGACACACACACTCTCACACAAAGACATCCCATAAAAACACAAAATCGGAAACCATAATATGTAAACAAAGACCTATAAAATTTAAAAAAATTCCAGGCAAAGCATTATCACACACACACACACACACACACACACACACAGAGAGAGAGAGAGAGAGAGAGAGAGAGAGAGAGAGAGAGAGAGAAATACTATTGAGTTAATTTTGTGTTGGCCATCTTCTGCTGGCCACAAGGCCTACCCTTAAGTGTGGTATATTACCCAGTGAGACTTTGTTGGAGAAAAGTAAGTTTTCTTTTGTGCATAGTTATCATTTTGAAACAGCTTCTGGGTTAGGGATGGGGCACTGTCTACTTCTCCTCTCAGAGCTGGGATCCAATCTGACTTAGACCTGGACAAGCTGTGTGTGTGAATGTTGCCAGGGTCTCTGTGAGTTCTTCTGTGTCTAGGAGCTCTTGTTTCCTTGGTATCTTCCCTTCTTGCCAATTCTTGCAATCTTTCTGTCTCCTGTGCAGCAGAGTTCCCTGAGCCTTGGGAGGTGGGATTTGATGGAGATATCCAGCTTAGGACTGTTACTTCTTCCTGTGGTAGTATGCAGAATACCTTCCCATACTATGCTCACTAATGAGCAGGTGTGAACGTTCTAGGTAAGCACCAGCTCAATATCTCCATATTCAATAAGTTGTATAAATGTTGTCTTCAGCAAGAGAGCCTTACCATCAGTTCGTGGAGATAAACCAACAGCCTTGTCAATACAGCCACCTGATTTCTAACAAAAATATACATGGGAGGAAGATAACCTTATCAAAAATTAGTACTTGCTTAGCATAACAAAGCCCTGAGTTCAATTCCCCAGCCCTGTATGGAACTGGACATGGTAACTTGCACATGTAATTCCAGCAATTAGGAGATAGAAGCCCAAGGATTAGAAGTTTACCAAATTATTAGCTAATCAAATTCAATAACTTATAAAGGGGTCATAAAACATGGCCAGTGGGATTTATCTCAGGGATGCTAGGCTGGTTCAACATTCAGAGAGCCGTCACACAGACTAAGGAGAAAAGTCATGTGACCATTATCAGTAGATGACAAAGAAGCATTTCATACAACCTGACACTTATCCATGAAGAACTATTAATAAACTATTCAATCATGTTAAAAACCAGTTTTGAAAACTGGAGAGGTTATTTGAGCAAACACTTCACAAAAATACTGGTAGTTAAATGGCTAGTAGACACACAGAAAGGATTAGTAATACAAAGTAAATGTCAACCAAAAACACAGAAAAATAATCATTACCTACCTAGAAGCATGAACAAAATTAAATGACTGATGGTATGTGCATGTATATGGAGTGTTGGTAGTGTTGACATTAATTGACCTGTGAAGATCTGTGTCTGTAGGACTTGGGTTTTGAAGACCTTAACAGATAGGGTTAACTACAGGATAATGCTATAAACAAAGTTACTTCAGTTTAAATATACTTTCATGTATTTATTTCATGTAACTGAAAAAATGATAAAAGAAGTATTTGAATTCAGAAAAACATGTGAATAATCATGGGTATGCACAAAATAAGTATTGAAAAAGCAGCCCCTTTCAAGAATTTTCTCAGGATAGATCAATGTAAACACAATCACCTGGCACATACTATAGATTGTATCTGGGAAGGCATGAAAGCAAGGCAGAAGGCCATATCCAGAATCAGGGTCCACTGAGGACAACACTCAGTTATTGTTTCACCAAGTTGGATTCTATAGTTTTGATCTGACATCCAACAAGAAAAAACATGTCTTATTAATTAAATGCAAATGTTTAACACAAGAGGCATGAAATCATGACCAAGACAATCCAAGAAACAAAATGCACTTGAGGTAGAAGTCCCTCTGCCCTTCTTTCTTGAGTCTCCTTCACAGTCTTCAAGGCACTGTTCACCATGGGTCATTCTTTTAACCATGTTCCAACAGGTAGTTACAGGCATTAATGGTGATAATGTAAAATACCATATAACTACACCACAAACTTCTGGCAGCAAAATATTAACTTCACACAACGTGGTAGGGGTGAAAGGAGGAGAGGGGCAGAGAGAAACTGGAGTCTAAATTAACAGCAGGAAAGCTATTCAAAAGCAAAAGAATGTTACTAGTCATTTTCAAATCTGTACCATATTAATTGTCATGATTAAGTACATACCTAATAATGAAGCTTTAAGCAATGAAAAGCAAAACTTAACTAAATTAAAGAGACATGTAGACAGTTTCACAATCATAGACAGAGGTTTTAACACCTCTTCCTCAGAAATGGATAGAGCAATCAAATTTTTATTTATTTATTTCTCGTTTTACATATCGATCCCAGTTCCCTCTCCCTCCTTCCCTCCCTCTCTCCCTCCTTCCTATGCCCCCCCGACCACCCTCCCATCCCACCCACCCACCCCCCACTCCACAGGGAGGATGATGCCTTCCAGGAGGGTTCAACAAAATCAACCAGCAATCAGAATTTTAAAAAGTAGTATAGACATAGAATATATCAATAACAGTATCAATTTTAGTGACTAAAGAGACATTAATAAAACAATTTCAATGTACATAATATGTATTTTTCAAATGACCCAGGTACATTCATCAAAGTTGATTATGTGCTGAATCACAATACAGATCTTTACCTTTCAGAAGGTCAGGGGCCAGCAAGATGGCTCAGAGGGCAAATGTATGTGCAGCCATACCTGAAGACCTGAGTTTAAACCCTAGAATCCACATAGAAAAAGAGAACAACTCCTATAGTTGTTCTGTGATCCCCACACAAAATGTTGTGTCCTGGGTATACACATACAACACACACACACACACACACACACACACACACACACCACTAAATAATTTAATAATTTAAGATGGTTAAATTAACTTTATATAGAGATATCTCATGCTTTTTAATTGTTAAAATGGATTATTAATGTGGTAATTTATGACAGACTTGTATCTTATACATTTTGAAGTAGAAGGAAATACTCTGGTGTTTTTGTATTGGAAGAAAAGTCACTTTGCTTCCATGTTGACCATCCTGTTTGGGAACTGTGGTCCTGGTAAGTTCTAGCACTCAGCTAGCAGGCTGGCCTGTCCCGTCTTTGTGGTGATTATTTCACGGATTCCACTCCTTATCTCGCCCCCTCTTTCCACTGGTAACTTCGAATAGCTTTACTTCAAATGCTTTAAGACAGACTCTGGAGGACCCTAAGAGAGACATACATGGACACCCCAACTCAGACAACTCTGGACAACCCAGAAAGGAAAAGGGATAAGATCTTCTGAGTAAATTGGGAATGCAGTGGGAGGGGGTAGGGTGTTAGGGAGGTAAGAGAAAGAGGAGGGGAGAAGGAGAACATGAGGGATCAGGAAGGTCGAGTTGGAGGAAGAACAGAGAAGGAGAGCAAGGAAAGAGAAACCTTAAGAGAGGTAGCCATTATGGGTTTGACGAGAAACCTGGCACTAGGAAAATTCCTAGGAATCCACAAGGATGACCCCAACTAAGAATCTAAGCAATAGTGGAGAGGCTACCTTAAATGCCCTTCCCCTATAATGAGATTAATGACTACATTAATGCCATCATAGAGTCTTCATCCAGTAGCTGATGGAAGCGGAAGCAGAGATTCACAGAGAAGCACTGAGCTGAACTCCTGGAATCCAGTTGTGGAGAGGGAGGAGTGATGAGCAAAGGTATCAAGAGCATGCTGGGAAAACCCACAGAAAAAGCTTACCTGAGTAAGTGGGGGCTCACAGACCCAGTCTGACAGATGAGGAACCAGTATAAGACCGAAATAGGCTCCCTGAACATGGATGTTTTTGGGGGGCCTGGGCAGTTTACAGGGCCACAGACAGTGGAACCAGTATTTACCCCTAGTGCACGAATGGACTTTGGGAGCCCATTCCCTATGGTGGGATACTCTCCCAGCCTAGATAGAAGGGGGAGAGTCTTGGTCCTGCCTCAAATGAAGTAACAGACTTTGATGATTCTCCATGGGAAGCCTCAGCCTCTGTGAGGAGTGAATGGGAGGTGGGATATACAGATGTGGGGGGCGGGGATGGGAGGAAGGGAGGGAGAGAAAACAGATTGGTATGCAAAATAAGATTGTAATGTAAATTTAAAATTTTTTTAAAAAGACATGCTCCATAATCATTGACACCAATCTATAAGCTGACCTGCATCCAGGCCACCTTGTCCCTCTTTCCCCTACTATACTGGAGGACTATCCCTTCCTAGCTAAGTCCGGAACCTCCACTTTGCTCTGGACCCCACTGTATCTCTTCTCAGAGGTTTTTCTCACTTTTTGTTTGTTTGTTTGTGTTCTTGGTTGTTTGTTTTTGTTTTTTTTTTGACATGTTTCAACCTTAAAGATGGGACAAGCAAGAAGTCTAGCAAAACGTTTCCTTACAGGCAGTCACTAATCTCCAAATTCATGTTAATGACTAGTAGAATAATCTATTCCATGGAATACTTGTAGAAAATCCACTTATTAAAGATAACCAGCTTTGTGGCTTTTTGGAGCCTAGTCCCTATAGTAGGATGCCTTGCTCAGCCTTGATGCAGGAAGGAGGAGTTTGGTCCTCCCTCAACTTACTATGCCAGGTTTTGTGACTCCCCATGAGAGCCCTGCCCCTTTCTGAGGAGTGCATTGGGGGGCAGGGTAGAAAGGAGGTGCAGGGAGGGTACATGAAGAGAGGAGAGAGGGGAAACTGGTTGGTATGTAAAATAAATTATATCAACTTTAAAGTAACCAGTAGAGTGTTAAAGTAGCCTTGTTAGCCTGCAACAAACATGTATGCCTGTATTCCCAAGAATCAGGAGCCTGAGACAGGAGGATTATCATAGTCTAATTAGCCAGAAAGATAATTTCATTTCAAAAAAAAAAAAAAAAACTCAGAATGTCACTCACCAGTCACATCTGGCACCAAAATGGTGATGGAGATCAGTGTCCCCAAAGCCAAGGTCCTGCCCAGGGCATCCATCTGGAGTGATTTCTAGTTAAACACAAATCACCATAAACCCTGGATGGACTCAGTGAATCTGTTTCTCGGGGTCAACTTTGTGCTCAGTTCATCGGATATAAGGGTGATTTTCTTCCTCATTTTGCATATCTTTCTTCATCTTCATTCTATGTGCTGTTCCATAACTAAGCCTGCATAGGAAAGAAGGTGTGGTGATGTTTGGTAACTGATACAGAAAGAAGCCAATGCTTAACCATTTCATTCCCTCGCAATAGTAAAACATTAAGATACATTTTATGACAATTTCCATTTTGATGCAGTTGTTAAAGCATGATTCATATACTAGATAATGAGCAAATAATGTGTGTACAGATGATGAATCTGTACAACTGGACAAGCACTTGCAAAATTTTGAAACTAAGGTGCTGACATTTTGCTACTCAGAGTTGCTGACATGTTCTTCCTTTGTCCACTTCTCAAGAAGCAAACAGGGTGTTGACATCTCTCACCATTTGCCTACTGTGCCAGTTCCGGAGCACCACATAAACTAAATGCTTTAGAGAGTTCTTCCCTGCATGCTGATTTGGACTCACCAAAGGATATATCATGATTCATTCATCAGTTTCTCTGTGATTTGAATTGCTTTCATTGATAACTAATATATAAAGCTTCTATGAGAATTCTTGATTTGAACATACTTTTTTGGTCTCTATGGCACCCATTTTCTCAGATATATACATACAAATAAACATGATTGATCATAGGATAGTGTGACTTTAAACAAATACTTCCCATCATGGATTAACTGGCATGCTGCCCCTCATTTTTATCTTAAAATTATATACCCAAACCTGAGAATGTGGTCTTACTTTTAAATAAAGTCATTTCATCTATAATTAATTAAAATAAAACTATACAGGGTCAGGGTAAGTTGGGCTCTAGTTCAGAGTTACTGGTATCTCTATGAAAGTGCATATACATGTATACAGGGAAATGTTTATGTGAACACAAAGGCAAAGAGAGAGATGTGTTCCTTCTACAAGTTAAGAAACAACAAGGATTATCAGCAGGCCCCCAGAAGCTGGGAAACAGGCAAGGACCAGATCCTTCCTTCCTGCATCAGAAAATTTACAGTCCTATGGTAACAAACCACAGCACAAAGACACTTAGAGAGCCAAAAGCCTCTTAGTTACTTATTCACTCCCTTACTTACAGTTTCAAGAAGAGAAAGCTGCTATGCGGGATCACAGAGGCCTTGTGCCCAACAACAGGGGGAAGAGCAAGCTGGATCAGTAGCAGATGGCTCATGCGTAAAAAGCAAGGGGTAAGGGTGGGGGGGGGTGGGGCTTCAGGGTTGTTGAGTTTTTATAACCTCACAAGACTGTGGCATGGTTATCTGTAGGATAGTATTTCCTCCTTTTATTAAAAATAGATTCTTTTCTCAAACATTATATCCCAGTTTCAGTTTCTCTTCCCTCTCCTCCTCCTAGTTCCTCTCCACTTCCACTCCCATCCAAATCCACTGCCTTTCTGTCTCTCTTTAGAAAAGAGCAGGCTTCTAAGGTATAAGCCCAAAACCTAACAAAATAAAATAAGATTAACAAAAACCATCCCAATGAGGCTGAACAAGGGACTCACCATGGAGAAAAGAGTCTAAGAGAAGGCACACGAATCAGAGACCTACTTGTTCCCATTCTCAGGATTCCCATAAAAATATTAAACTGAAAGCTACAACATGTACAGAGAAGACCTGGTACAGCCCCCTGCAGCCTTGTGCTCGCTGCAGTCCCTGTGAGGTCATGTGAGCCTTGCTTAGCTGGGTTTACAAGGCTTTTTCTCCTGGTCTTTTCCATCCCCTCTGGCTCTTACACCCTTTCCACCTGCTCTTCAGCAGAGTTCCCAAAGCACTGAGAGGAGGGATTTGTTTGAGCCACTCCATTTAGAGATGCTCTCTCTCTCTCTTTCTCTCTCTCTCTGTCTCTGTCTCTCTCTCTCTCTCTCTCTCTCTCTCTGTGTGTGTGTGTGTGTGTTTGTGTTTGTGTGTGTGTGTAATGTCTGGCTGTGGGTTTCTGTATTTTTTTCCCATCTGCTGTAGGAGGAAGCTTTTCTGATGATGGCTTAATTAAGCACAGATCTGTGAGTATAGAAGAGTATCATTAGAAGCCATTTTATTGCTACTTTGGTTTTTTTTTTTTTTTTTTTTTTTTAGACCAGTAGTATTTGGTTTTACTCTAGTTATCTGAGCTAGCTAGTTTCTGGTTCTTGATCACCCAAGCAGTGTTAGGTATTAGTTCCACTCAAAGGAATGGCCTTAAATCAAAGCAGACAGTGGTTGGTTACTTCCGCATGCTTTGTGCCTTCATTGCCCTAGCCTATTTTGCAGGCAGAACAGATTGTAGATCAAAGGTTTTGTGGATTGGTGCTTAACTTTCTCTTTTAGTAGCCTGCAGAATATCTTCCTATACCAGACACTAGAATGTATAGGTGAAATTTCTATGTAGGCACTGGATCAACCTCTCTGTATTCAATGAGTTATAATAGGTGTTTTCTTCAACAATGGGGCCTTGCTGTCAGTTTGTGGAGAACAGCCTATTGTCCTGGCAACAGCCCAGGTTGTCTGGGGATTTTCATGGGCCCCTTTAGTCAATAACTCAATTGATTGTTACCCAATCCCAGTACCAGAAGCTTCATTTGGTGACAAGGGAGACCAGTTGGGACTCTGTCTCCCTCATTGTTTGGAGACTTCATTAGGATTGCCTTCATATATTTCAAGAAGTTTCTACCATACTAGTTTTCTATACTACCCCTCAAATGCCCCTCCATTCTAGCTATCTTTCCCTGAATTCCATGTCCCCTCCCTCTCCCCTCCTAATCCTGTTGTTCCTATTGCCTCCAGCCCCCAATTCACCCATAAAATCTATTCAGTTTCCTCCTCCCAAGGAGATCCATGCCTCCCCACATCCTTTCCTCTATATCTAACCTCTCTTGGTCCACAGGTTACAGCTTAGTTAACATTTATTTAACAGCTAATATCCACACATAAGTAAATATAATACATGCCATACTTATCTTTCTGGGTCCAGGTTAGCTCACTCAGGATGATTTTTTTCTAGATCCATCCATTTGCCTAAGAATTTCATGATTTTATTTTTTAATAGCTGAGTAATACTCTGTTGTATAAATGTATCACATTTTCCTTATCTATTCTTCAGTGGAAGGGCCACATTTTTTTCCAATTTCTGGCTATTATGATACAGCAGCAATGAATATGGTTGAACAAGTGTGCTTGTGATAAGATGAAATACCCTTTGGGGACAAGCCCAAGAGTGGTATAGCTGGATCTTGAGTTGTATTAATTCCTATCTCTCTAGGAACCCCATACACTGGTTTCCATAGTAGTTGTTTGAGCTTGCACTCCCACCTACAATGGATGAGTGTGGCCCTCATTCCATATTCTGGCCATCATTTATCTTATAATTAACCTGAGACATGTAGGATGGTGGGAAGAGGAGGGTGGGCACAGGGTTTAACCCTGCATAAAGAGACTAGTTGGAAAAATACATAAAACAGGTGCTCCAAATGGGAACCAGACAGCCCCTGTCAAGGCCTTTAAGCTGGGTCTAAATGGTCCTTCTAAAAATGGAAAACTATATTAAAATTGGTGCTTGTGAACATTTTTAAGCATGATTTTGGAGGTATGTGAATGTCCCATATAGAGGGAAGACTTTTCATAAGAAATGCATGCATTTCCCAAACATGATGGATAGCATTTAATTGGGGGGAGGGGTAGTAGAGATAAAAGGAGGACAGTCCAGAATAGGTAAACTCATCTTTCTGTTGCTGTAACAAGACTCCTGATATAAATGATTTCTAAGGAAGAAAGTTTCAGAGGGAACTTTAAAGACTATTGGGGCCATATGATGTTTTGAATTAAGAATCTGTGGTTCTGTTAAGCTGGGCTAGAGAATTGGCTGTGCTTAACAAGACACTGGCACCACTGAAGTAACAAGAGACGTGAAGCAAAATGTGTCCTTTACTGGGACAACTGATGATAGCTGGAACTGAGAAATTAGCGGTGATCAAGAAGAATTCAGCACCACTGAGGTGAACTCTGGGAAGTGTTTCCTCAGCATCAAAGGCTTGGTTCAGAGGTGGCCAAGTTTATATGCCTCCTGCTGGATCGAGCACATGGTCCAAGTGATGGAGCAGCCTTCACAGCAGCTGGGACCTGTGGAAAAGCCTTCTCCTGTTGCAGGATCCTTTCCCAGTACCACAGTCTGTACTAATCACTATTCCTAGAGAAACAGAACTTAAGTCTACATGTATGTATGTTTGTGTACATATATATGTATATATATACATATATATGTTGGATAATATATATACAGGAATTGTGTGTGTGTGTATGTGTGTGGGGGGTGTATGTATTATATATGATTCCTGATAGTAGCTAGAAGCTGTAGTCCAGCTATCCAGCTAATCAAACAATGTCTGTCCCCCTGTGGAAAGTCCAAGAATTCAGTAGTTGTTCAGCCTGTCAAGCTGGATGTCTCAGCTGGTGCTCAGTATATGACAGAATCCCAAAGAAGTAGGCTCTGACACCAGTGAAAGAACACTTCAGTAGCAGGATAAATAAACTTGCCAATGAGAGTGAGGGAAATACAGCAAAAAGATATATATATACATATCTATGTATATATATTATACACACAAACACACACACATATGAAAACCGTGTGTGTGTGGGGGTTGCCATAGGTGGATCATCCCATTAGTTAATTCTGAATGTAGTCAACTTGTCAATCAAGAATACCTATCACATTGATAATAACAGCAGGAATTTGGGTTGGGCTGGGTCAGAGGGATGTTGGGGGGAACATGGAAACAGGAGCTAGTGCAGAGCTCATGCTTTCCGGCTTGCTCCCTCAATGGACTGTGCTGTGAGATATGTAAGCAAAGTAAACCCTTTCCTCCCTCAAGTTGCATTTGGCCATGGTGTTTCCATCACAGTAATAGCAACCCTAAGACATAATGCCATAGAGCCACAGAAGCAAGACCCACATCAATCTGAGTTGGCACCCACTTAATAATGATATTGTTGTCCCATCTTGCAAATAACATTGCTCCAGCCTAAGACCTTGACACTGGACATAACCTTTCCTCTTGCTCTAGGGTCTCACCTAGG